TCCGACGGTTCCCACGACCCAGCAACACTTACCTGGTGCGCACGCGGATGCGTTTACAAAGCCCGGTGGTTGGGGGCGTCGAAGTCGCACAAGTCGATGCCCGACTACGTGTGGGAGCACAGAATAAAGACCTTCGCTGCGACGGGCCGCTGGGCCGGTCCTCAGCGACCCAGCCGAGCCAGACAACTGAAGTGGTTTGCAGTGTTCACCAAGGTACGTATGCCATGGCACAGACGCAGCCAAGGGGGCTGTCCTCGAGACGCGGGTATTTGTGTCGTCCACCACACAGCTCCTGACAGAAAGTTAAAATGAGCGCGACGCGTGCTCACTGAATTCCTTCCACTCCACCCTCTACCCACGTCCACCGCCCTCAGATCGTCATGGCCGCCCTGTACGATGGTGAAGAGGTGCCAGCTCGTCACGTCTTTGTGTAAGCTCTATATGTCGGAATTAGAGGCCACATGTGCGGTGCAATGCAAACACAACTTCAAAAAGATCTCCTCGATAAGTGAACGGCTTAGCTTGAAAGGCTATACAGCAAACGGCATCATGCGATCAAGCATGGCGTACTGACCATGGGTTTGCTTCTTCTTTGCTTTAGATGTTGGAGGAAACTCAAATCTGTTGTGAAAAAGTAATTCGCTACTGATTGCGTGGAAGATCGGGTTAATGGCAATTTGGAAACGAGTCCAAAGAATCTCTGAATTGCTGCAGTTAGAGTATCTTGCTTCTAGCGCAAACGACCTTAGCAAACGGCGATTTTCTGATCTAAGCTTAATCCAACCATCTGCAAAGGGGAACGTTCTGTTTTGGCAAACAGCTGCAAACTGATTGCCTTCTTATCACTAACACAACAGAGCAGCGACATCGGCGCCGCGGCGTCACCACGGCGACCACGATGACCCCCGAGTTAGACAACCGACAGATGGAGAGAAGGAGACAGAGAAACTGAGTCAGTTCGAAAGGGGAGGGATGGAAAGGAGAAGAGGAAATAAGCTGCAGAAAGCTGTTCTGTATGGCGCAGATGAGACTATCGTGTTTGCTTTGCAGATCGAGAACTGCCCTCGCCATGACGCACAATTGCAGAAGCTGCCAAGCTCCGCTCTCCTTTGGCAGGGCTGCAGCAATGCGGCGGTGCGTTTGCGGATACCACCAGGAGGTACGGTGCTGCTCACCGAAATGGATGGCTTCGGGAAATGTATATTTTGCAATTTCTTCGCATTTTAACCATCTGTCTGTGGCATATTATATTGCTTGATTCGTGCTGCGTTCACATTTTGTTTTAATACAGCTTCAATTTCTTCATGAAAGGGCTGTGTAATACCGCGGTAAATTGACGTTAAAGTGAGTGTCTATCTGTGATAAATAAACACCTATATGTATATATATATATATATATATATATATATATATATATGTATATAAACACATGCATATATATTTATGCATATATGTATATATATATATATATATGTATATAAACACATGCATATATATATATATACCTATATATGTATATATTTATAGCTGTCATTTGAGCAGAAACATGTGCGAAATAAGCAGCAACGTGCAGACAAATATGCTGGCTGCAAATCATGTAGCCCGATCGACATTGTCGAATGCCGTGAGTACTCCATTGGACTCAGAACTGACTAGTTCATTGCCATAACGCCCCAGACAGAATTACTGTGTCAAGTACCGTCCTTGTATGATGAGTTAGCGCATATATCATGTCTGCAGCACCTGCTCCAGCCATTCTTGTCTTTTTCAGGATAGGTCCGTGCAGTTGGCTGCCCAGGGTCCTCCAGCCACCGTGGCTGACCTGGTGCTGGCACCAGTGCCGGGTGGTGCCACAGATCTGCCCCAGACGCCGACGTTGACATCGACGGCGGTAAGGACAGGTAAACATTGCAGAACGGATTTGCATGATACCCAGACCGCGTCGTAGAACGGAGATTTCCTCTCTTATATGTAGATGTGGTGGGCGTATAGTGTGGATGATCTGAATGACGTTGTTATTACGTCATGAATGCCAAGGTGACTTTGAAACACTCCCACCGGAATATTCTCCACCCGTTTTCGCGAACTGAGAAGCTAGAGAGGCTCAGGTCTTGATAAGGGCAGGATTGTGAACAGCACCGAGATGTCCTCAAGATGGCTATTTTAGTTCAAAACCCCATAAAAATTTGGAACACTCCTGTAATGCAGTCAAATGGCTATGTTCCCAGGCTGCAAGCGCCACCATTGGCCAGGCGCCGACGAGGGCAGGCGGGGTGCCAGCCGTGGCCGCCGTCTCTGAGACCTCGGCCCCAGCGATGCCGCCGCCCCGCAGCACCGCTGGATGCGGCCTCAGATGTTACGGTATGTTCCACGTGCTCTTTGTTCTGAACGCCTCGTGCCCACAACACACTGCTGGCAGTCTTACTTGCAAGCTACATTCGAAAGGGATGAAACGGTTTCAGTGAAATGGTCATTGCAGACGCGACAAAACCTCTTGTTTTTCTTGCATATGACAATCAATGGAAATAAATGATGATATTCATCATATGACGCGTGTTGATATGGGCACGCGGTGCTTGATGATACCAAGATATCGTTCCTTTTGTTAAACACGCAGACCAGGCCTGAATGCGTCTTACTGAACGACTGCGAAAAACGCCGTGCATTGACAACGGCCATTGCCACGCCGGCGTGCGGGATATATATGCATTGCAAGGTTTACACATGCTTATGGTTTTCCCCTTTCCCTTTCGAACTTTGCATTGTGCAGAGCTCAAATCGCTTCTCGCAAATCGCTTTTATAGGATACAAAAGTAACCTGAGGTCTCACAACGGAGGTGGGTTTCGTATCTCAGTGATTGGCCCTCTCGACCAGGTCAGCCGCCGTGTTTTGCCTTTCGCTGTGCTTTCAGGCGTAATGCATTATTTTGTGTTTGCTTTTACTGGGCGCTAATATTGCATGTATTTTCATCAGCATATTATGTCCTAATACGATAACATGACTTAAAGCACCCATTGCTGATGTGTTTGTCATTTGCACAGGTGCGTCTTGTTGATACAGTTCTTGTAAAGCTGTGTCCACTGCGCAAATCATCCACAGTGCACTCATGTGAAGAAAGTGCACATCATGTAGATGCTTTCCGTCTCTTCACCATCGTTTATTGTGCGTATCTCTGGAGTCTGTATGAATGACTCCCATATTTGACTCTCATCACACAACATTTGGCTGGCTCCGTTCTCCGCATCCATCAGAATGTTAAGCCCGTCGTAAGTTTAGCAGCAACGCAGGGACGCTTGCGCAAAGTACTGATTTGGCATACATCCATTTGGTACAGCATTTGCATGCCAAATGGATGCACTTTTTACCCATTGCCCATTAAGTGTTGACAAAACGTGCGTTGCGAAAAGGCCTGGTGAGTGCTGTGGTGCGGAGCCGCACGCGTCACGGGTCGGTCAAGGATCCCTGAGTACTAGCGGTTGCTGTGGTGCGGAGCCGCACGCGTCACGGTCGGTCAAGGATCCCTGAGTACTAGCGGTTGCTGTGGTGTGGAGCTGCACGCGCCACGGACCGGCCAAGGATCCCTGAGTACTAGCGGTTGCTGTGGTGCGGAGCTGCACGCGCCACGGACCGGCCAAGGATCCCTGAGTACTAGCGGTTGCTGTGGTGTGGAGCTGCACGCGCCACGGACCGGCCAAGGATCCCTGAGTACTAGCGGTTGCTGTGGTGCGGAGCTGCACGCGCCACGGACCGGTCAAGGATCCCTGAGTACTAGCGGATGCTGTGGTGCGGGGTTGCACGCGTCATGGGCCGGCCAGGGATCCCTGAGTGCTAGCGGGTGCTGCGGTGTGGAGCTGCACGCGACACTGGCTGACCAAGGATCCCTGAGTTCTAGCGGTTGCTGTGTTGCGGCCGGGAGCCACACGTGCCACGGGCCGACCAAGGATCCCTGAGTATTAGCAAGTACTGTAGCTCTGTCACGGCGTCGGTCCGTTCGGTCTCGCCCTGGGGAAAGGTCAGGACTCGGCGCCTCGGCGCCTCCGTCTGGCCAGCCGAGTGACCTGGGGCCGGTCATCGGGTCGGGGGGGGGGGGGGGAGACGCGGTTAGGTACGGTCCCATGAGCGTTGGCGTGGTGCACATAACACGGTGCGGGATGTGTTCTTATGGAGACGGTCGGAGCTTGAGCTCACAACACGCACCAATGCAGCTATGCAGCATATGGCTATGCGGCATACCTTCTACATCTGACATTGATGAGCCCTGCTTCTTAAGCATTGCTCATGCCCCAATTTTGCTCCAATCATAAGACCAAATTTTTCAACATCCCGTATTGGAGCCATCAATGAGTTCCGCATCGGTGATGCATACGGCTGTGACTGGCCTTACCAATGGAGGCAAGGCGGCTTAACATAAGGAAGGATTTTCGATAATAAATACATAATCAACCATGCTGTTTTTCACGACAGCATAGGTGCAATTTTCACGTCACTGCCCCGCCCCCCCCCCCCCCCCACCGCTCTTTGCTCCCCCGAGGGACCGTTCAGGGTTTGATAGTATCCGTGCAGCATTGCCGGTCCAAGGTAGACTGACCATGGCTGAGCAAGACCCGTGGCATCCGACCATGGTCTCAGACCTATTTCGGAAAGTCGATACTCGACACGTGTATTCCATAAAACATGCAAGACCATTGTAACTTTTTTTTTGCCCATGCGTAACTCGAATATGACTGTTCCAGAGGGATCTGCTGCCTTCCGGATGGCACGAGTCCCTGCCTCCCCAATATTGTCCATACGTAACTCGAATATGACTGTTCCAGAGGGATCTGCTGCCTTCCGGATGGCACGAGTTTCTGCCTCCACAAGACCGCATCTGGGTAGCAAAACTGTTTCGACCCGCAACGGGGCAGTCGGGGCAAGTTGAGCTGAAGACGGTGCAAGGCATGATGGCGCGCCCGCCTGCGCCTCCGCTGGTGTGCAGCAACCTACCCGCCGGGCCAGGCCGCTACTTCACCAGCAAGCCGTTCTTGTGGATGCCTTGTCGACTGAAGGCGAGGCCGCGATGTCCAGAGGAAAGCTGCCAGCACCCTCCTGACGGCGTCAGGACTGCACCCGAAACTGCGCCGAGTCCTCGACGTGGACTGCTGGTATTGGATGGCCACGGAAGAGCTGTCGTGCGACAGCTGCGAGCGGACGGTGGCGGCGTGGTCCAGCGCCGTCGTCCAGCAGCTTGATGAGGCCCGCCAGCAGATGTTCCCAGCCGTGCTAACCCGCAGGTATGCGGAATAACACGGAAACTACAGGATCAATGCCAAGAGGAGATCTGTAGCCAACACAGCTAGCTGTTGATGTACGTCTGAGTTTTCCACACCTGAGTTAGTATAATTTGGAAGGCTCTTTACCGCCACAGATGCGGATCGATGCAGTTATTCAATGTTCTTCCATTCACTGCATTCAGTGCTCTTCCTTCTACACGCGCATTTGATAAAGGCACCGGTAAATGTTCATGTATTCGTGTGAACTGCCGCTAAGCTAATGTCATGCATTGCATTTTAGGAGCTTTCAAGCACTGGGTG